TTTTAAAAAAAATTGTATTTTCTTCATTCTTTTGTGAGATTTGGGCATTCCTGACAAGGCCAACATTTGTTACGAAACCCTAGTTATTTTTGTTACATTATAATCATAATGCAGACTAAAACACTCACTTTCTCTATTTGTACATGTTCAGAAATGTAATACATCTACAGGATAGTGGTGATAGACATAGTGAAAACCAACAATGAAAAAGAAAAAGGTGCCACCTAAACTATGTTAATACATTTGATTAGCAAGTTCAAAGTAAAGTACCAAAGGTAGAATCAGGTTCTATCCAAATGGTGACAAGTAGCTGACCTGCCATAACCAGCATCACTGTGTTGCATTTGTAACAGTGTAGCTGTCTCGTGGAGATTTGAGAACCAATTCTTGGCTTCATCTCGAGTGCTTCTTTTATACTGTCCTATGGCAATGTAATGGCAATGGCAATTGTTATGATAATGGGAATTGGAACTGAATGTGTAACTGCCACTATCTGGTGAGGCAGTTTGATACTGGGCTTTCCCAGCTCCTCACATGAATGAATCCCAGCAAATTCGCTCACTGGGTGCAGCTGACTGTACAGAAATCTAAGCATCAGCTTCGCTAATGTTGGTCTGTCATAATATTAAAAAAAACTAGCAACAGCAGACAGTGTTTGCTTGCCTGCTTTTAGAAACTAGCAATGTGGCTTTCCAATGTCTACATTGTGCAGTGGACCTTCCACAATAGTTCCAGAGAAAGCACTCAGACAGGTTTTCTTTTTAACATCATATTTTGTCAAAACTGTTCATTCAATAGTTAGACTTCTAGATTTTATCTTTCTTAGGCCGGATCTATAATCATATTTTTAGCTGTAATTGAATTGTAATTACATGTAACTACATGAAAAGAGAGTGATAAAGGCCATTTTTTAGATCTAAATGTTTATCAACTGAGCCATAAACTAACATTATTGCATATAGCCTTTTCTAATTCAGCATTTCTAGAAGAAGTCATAATTTCTAAATACTATAGACATAATAAACCCTCAATAGCAATGTAAATCATCAAGTTAAATTTATAATTCTAAAACATAGACATCATAGAGCTTTGATTATGTGAGCCATAAGGTTTTACAGCAGGGAAAGGAGCTCTTCAGACCATTGTGTCCACACCAACCATTAAGTACCTACTAATCAAATTCTATTTTCCAGCTCTTGGCCTGTAGCCCTGTAACATTGTTTGCTATGGTGTTTCAAGTGCCCATCTAAATACTTTATAAATGCTCTGAAGGTTCCACCTCTACCATCCTTTCAGGCAGTGAGTTCCAGTTAGCCATAAGCCTCTGGGTGAAAACCTTTCTCCTAAAATCTCCTTGAAAGCCCCTGCCCCTTACCTTAATCTATGTTCCCTTGTAACCGATCCCTCTACTGAGGAGAAAAGTTTCTTCCTATCTATGCTGCTTAATTTTTTACACCTCAGTCGGGTCCTCTCTCAGCTTTTTCTGTTCTCAGGAAAACAACCCCAGCCGATCTACTCTCTCTTCATGGCTGAAACTCTTTAATTCTGGCAGCATCCTGATGAATCCCCATTGCACTGTATCTAAGTGCAATCACATTCTTTCTATAGTGTGGTGACCAGAATATGAACAGTATTCCAGCTGTAGCCTAATTAGTGATATATACAGCTCCAACATAACCTCCTTGCTCTCATATTCAACTCCTTGATTAATAAAGGAAAGTAATCTACATGCCTTATAAACCATCTAATCTACTGCTGCCACCAAGGTTCTACGGACATGCACACCACTCTGATGCTCTGTAATGCTTACGATCTTACCATACATTGTGTGCTACCTTGCCTTGTTAGTCTTCCCAAATGAACACCTCAAAATTTTCAGGATTAAATTAAATTTGTCATGCTTCTATGCATTTGACCAGCCCATCAACACTGTACTGCAAAAGCAATTTAAAATTAAGGTGTAATTCTTCAAATAAAATTAGTTTGCAAAATTCTTGTTGCTTCAGGTCATGTTTCTTCATAATCTGTAGCAGTTAACTGTAAACCTGGCAATTATACAGGGCATTGCTGATTGGGTGAAATGATAGTTCAGTGGTTAGCACTGCAGCCTCACAGCACCAGGGATCTAGGTTTGATTCCATCCTTGAGTGACCATCTGTCCAGAGTTTGCATTTTCTCCCTGTATCTGTGTTAGTTTCCTCTGGTTGCTTCAGTTTCCTCCCACAGTCCAAACATTTGCAGGTTAGGTGGATTGGCCAAGCTAAATTGCCCACAGAGTCCAGGGATGTGCAGGCTAGGTGAATTAGCCATGGGAAATGCAGGATTATAGGGATGGGGTGGGTCTGGAAGGGATTCAGAGAGTTGGTGTGATCTCGATGGACTGAATGGCCTGCTTCCACACTGCAGGGATTCTATCATTCTTTGATTCTAACAACAACCTGACTCACTGATGCAGCATATGTGACTTTATTGTTAGCTACACCAAAGTTAGGAAACATCCAATTTGTTGACGAAGATATGAGTAAGATTTTTAATGAAATGGAGTCAAAATGTATTTGAACTAAGAAGAGTTTTCAGAATAAAGCTTCTTAAAAGATGATGTTAACAGTTTAATAGCATGTCTGAATACAACTGGAAAATCAGAGGTGGTTCGTGTATATGTTTATACAAATATTGTGAAGTTGTTCCATTTGCAGTGTTATCACAATATCACATACATGTTTATCACAGTACAAAATGAAAACACATGTTACATCATTAAAAATATTACCAGCCATTTCCTTTAATATATGTGTGTGAACACAATTCTAGATTAATAAAACTGGAACTGTAATTAGTTTTGCATGGAACCTAGCACAGTATTGCTGCACTTTGTTGCAAACAAAATGGGTAACAATTCTCTCAAATGTGCTGAAAGTTCAAATACACTTTAAAAATTATTCTGCTTTGCCATTGGTAATTGGAAAGCAATGGAAACCATTCATTATTATAAAAATAGTTGTCAATTCTAAAGATATTAAATTCTTGTCTAGGGTAAGCAGGCAAATACATTAAGTTCCATTTGCAAAAGTCACAGCAGCAAACGTGTGCAGCTATTCAGAATGGTGACACAATTTAAAAAGAAATACTTTTAAAGGATAGAACTAGAAACAGGTTTTGCAGTCTGTGATTGAGTGATTTCTCACAAATTGAGGATTTCAATATTCAACTGAAAGTTGAGAAGACGGGAACAAAAGCAGAAGTTGCTGGAAAAGCTCAGCAGGTTTGGCAGCGTCAGTGAAGAAAAAATCAGAGTTAACATTTCGGGTCTGGCGACCCTTCCTCAGAACCCTTCTGAACAACGCTGATTTTTTTCTTCACTGACGCTGCTGGACATGCTGAGCTTTTCCAGCAACTTCTGCTTTTGTTCCTGATTTACAGCATTCACAGTTGTTTCGGTTTTCAGTTGAGAAGGTGGGAATGGATTTGGGGTGAGGTAGTTTCAAGTTAATTTCAGCAAAATGTCATCAGTGGCTTAGCACAGAGACTCTTTATTTTCTCTAATGGTTGGGCAGAGGTGAAACAGCCCCACAAACTTTGGCTATGGCTTGATTGGATGGAGACGATTGTGAAGAGGATACAAGTCAATAGCATCTTTATGTTGACTGATATTCTAAACCAAAATTGGCTACTGATCGTGGTGGTGGAATTGGAAGATCCAATATTTTCCCCTTGCCAAGAAAATCAAAATAATATGCTAATACTCTTAACTTTGTGCATTTACTTTCAGCTGTGGAAGGTATCAGTTATAATAGGCAGTTATTTCTTCATGTACGTATTCCATTTTTATTTAGATAATGAATTGTACCTCATATGACTGGATCTTGCTTCTTGGAAAAAAGATATATGCCCACCTTAATGTTGTTTATTATGTCTTCTGATTCCTAGATGTTCAAAATAATCTACCTAAACCAAATGGAGCATAGGGTTCAAGAAGGCAACTCACTGTCACCTTCTCAAGGGCAACTAGGGGCGAGCAATAAATGCTGGCCCAGTCGGGCCACAACCACATACTATGAATGAATTTAAAATAAAACTTTGAAACTCAAAATACAGGATTTCTTGTGTGGCTGCTTCACAAATATAATTGTTGATTGGGATCTGATGGCACTGCAGCAGAAAATATGCATATTCGCATAACAATTCTTTGTAACTCTTTATAAATAACATAACAATATAGCATTATTACAGAGAGGCAGGCTATTGTGATGACAACAGCAAGTTCTAATTGTCAATGTTCAAAATGATTTAAAAAGGAAAATTATACAATGATTTGGTAATTTCTCTAATTATTGAGCAGATCTCTGTTTATCAGAATCTTGTCTGAAATTTCAAATCTTCAGACAGGACGAATTGGAATCTGCAGTGAAAATTAATTCTTGTAAAATTTGAGTGCAGCATTTTGTATGTATGTAGTACATTGAGATTTCAGGTGAGCTATGGCAAATGTCTACATGGTGAAAATGCCTGGATAATAGTAACAATTGGCATCCTCCTATTTTTGGCCATGTGTATACCACTACTTATGTTACAGGATATAACAACTAATGTATTTTAGGAGCAATTTCTCCCACTTCTCTGAGTCTATTTTATATTCAGTTTTCTCCCACCATAGTTCAATGCTGCAAGTAGATATGAATGAAAAGAATGTGTGTATCTGTGTGATCACTGGGGGCTGATGCCCTCATTCAAGCAATTCAAAAGGTTAACTCAGAAAGAAGAGTTAATGTTTTGGGTCCAGTGACCCTTCTTCAGAACGCTTCTCTACACAGTTGTTGCCAGACCTGCTGAGTCTTTCTAGCAATTTGCGTTTTTGTTCCCGTTTACCTGCTGACTCATACATAACATGACTTAACAACTGCAGTCAAATTATCTCAGAGATAGTAAGAACTGCCGATGCTGGAGTCAGAGATAACACAGCGTAGAGCTGGAGGAACACAGCAGGCCAGGCAGCATCAGAGGGGCAGGAAAGCTGACGTTTCAGGTTTACACCCTTCACCAGAACTTCATGAGTCTTTCTGAAGAGGGGTCCCGATCCGAAACGTCAGCTTTCCTGCTCCTCTGATGCTGCCTGGCCTGCTGTGTTCCTCCAGCTCCACACTGTGTTATCTCTGCAGTCAAATTATCTTGTTTTTTTAACTGAGAACTTTCGCTTTAAGGGCTCGGTCCTACCGATGAATTATCAACCGAGACCAACCCGTGTGATGATCTCAACGCATTAGGTTTACATCCTGTTGAATCTGACAGTTCTGAATGTACGCGCTGTCCCGAAGGAACCGACTTTCAACAAGTGACCGGCGAACGCAATGTCAGGGACGTGCTGCGTCATGAGTGGGCGGTAGTGTTTTACATAAATGTCACCTCCCTGAAACTCCATTGAGGGGTTGGAAAGTTTACAGGAGGTGCTTGTCAGAGAAGAGGAGGCTGACCTGAAGGTTCCAGTAAAATATTTGTGCATTTTTTTCCTCCGTGGACAGTAGTTTATAAGTAATGGATGCTTTAAAGTCGGCGGGACGAGCGATCATAAGAAGTCCCAGCATCGCAAAGCAAAGCTGGGGAAGTAGCAAGCACAAAAGTAGGTTTATTTACCATCTGAGTTTACGAACTAGCTTTAGCGGGCTGGTGTTTGAAAGTCGATAAAGTTGCTCAGCATGGCACAAGTTTGGGGATAGTGTTAGATTTGGGATCTTTTGTTACAAATGTCTGTGTGTCTCTTTCCGATTGGCCGGATGTTCCTGGGCCTGAAATAATTCCACTTTTATGTTAGTCTGTATTTGAAACTGAAAGCTGAGTAATGAATTCGACGTAAAAGACACACACTATGCGCAGTTACAAATGGGAACACAGCAACATGTTTCTTGCGATTGCAACGTGACAATGTGTGTAACTGACCAAAACTGTCAGTTTCACTATTTGTGAATATCTTTTGCACTCCAGTTAAACACTGGCCCTATCCGCCTTGGATTGCTCCGATAGCTAATGATTATTCCGATTATATATTTTTAAAAAGCTGCTTTTTAAACCGGGCTGAAACTGATTGACTCCTCCTCATAGGCTATGACGTGCTCGCCCCACTAGCCCACACTGCGATCCAAATTCACCACTTTCTCCCAGGGCCCTGGACGGAATTTCAAGAATGCCCTGGACGACTTTATCAGAGAGGTTATAAACTGCCCCCTTCACTCCAATTCTTTCTTGTTCATAACTAACTCATGTCGTCTGTCCATTTATACGGGTCATTTCGGGTTGATGTGCACTGTGGAGCTGGTGGTTCAATTTCAAAAGCATATATTCCGGGGGCAGGGGGTGTGGGTGGAGGGTGCGTTACAGATGTGAAAGTCGTGTGCAATCAGACTCCGAACATCATAAAATGTCCCTGGGGAAATGGTTTGGCCTAATCCTCCCGCGGGCACAGTGTGCATGAAATTATAGATTGCTTGATTTGTAATAGACTTCCTGGCTGCATATGTATTGGATACGGTTCACGTCGTGTTACCTGTTGGGCTTGTGTGTGTGTTTGTTTTGGTGTGCTGTTAGCTATCTGCTTTGACTGAGTTTCCACAATTGTTCAAGGCACAGAGCAATGAATAGTTTCACTATTGCTAAAGTATCTAAACTAGTGCCTTTCTGCCAGTGTGAATTTTAAGTGAAAAGCTACGGTGGCCCAGTGACTTTGACTAGAGAGAATTAAATTGTTTAATGCTCAGTATTATCTTTATGAGAAGGTGGGAGTAGTGTAGCTCTTGGCTTGTTCTGAGTGCAATGTTGTCCTATTCAAACTGGAAAGAAAGGTACCAATGTGAATACTTTCATAAAAGCAAAATACTATGGATGCTGGAAATCTAAAATGATACCAGAACATGCTGGAGGATCCCAGCAGGTCTGGCAGCATCTACGGAGAGAAAAATGGAACTAGCATGTCAAGTCTTGTATGACTCTTTTTCAGAACATGGAATATTTTATACTTATTTTTGTCTATTACAATGGAAAGACTAGTTCTTTTCTGCAATTAAAATTTATATCATTAGCAGTTTTTTGTATATTCAAGGATATATGTGTATTTTTCTAATCCTTATTTCTTCATGTTGTAATTAATGTACTTTGCAAAGTCTTGTGACCTGTGAATAATGTAATTGATTAGTTAATAGCATTTTTCTTTTGATATTTATATTACTCAGGATAATGAAAGTGCTACAAGAATCTTTTAGGTGTGTCAGAAGAAAATCCGTGTGAAATATGTCAACTCTGGCAATGGAGCACTCTTGCAGCATGCATTGGGTTATGTGCACAAGTCTTAGGCTGGAGTTTGAACCATAAGCTGATGCTTCAAATTCAAAGATATGCTACCGTCAACTCTGCAATACTGAACTAAAAGTCTTTAGTGAAATTTTGTTGGGGAATGGTGACTGGTATGAATTGCTTTTGAAAAGCTATAATTATTGAAATACATGCTTGAGATGTAGTGTTTTGAAATAATTCACATGATCCTATTGCAAACCTGTCAATGTGTGCTGTATTCACCCAGCTATCTCAATATCTGAATCGGAGATGGAGCTGCATCTGTGCGTAAGACAGATGTTGAAACATAAACACCACTTTCTGATAAATTTGCACCATTAGTCATCTGTTGTACAAGATGTCAGTGTTTGGTTCTTTCCAGCTGTTTTGCTGCTAGTACAGCAGCTACTGTTAGTTACTGCAGTACACGTGGAAAAAGGGCTTTCTTTAATCTGAATGACATATGGATTAATGCTGGAGATGAATAGAATTTCTTCTTCCTTCCTGTACTTTTCAGCATTGCCCTGGCTCGATTAAATTATTGAAGAGCAGAATTTTGTCCTGATGCTTTGAAATAGGTTCAATAATGAAGCAAAGTTGGGAGTTGGGAGTGCTGCTTTAACAAGTTGGAAAATATCCTGGTGGAGCAGAAAGATTTATGGGTAGAAGGGTATTAAAGGCTCCTCTTCAGCTTTTTGTAGCAATATTTGATCTTATTTGAAAAATTTTTACTTCAAACTTGAAATTTAGTTTAAAACAACAGGGATTCTAGTTTTATAGTACTAGGATAATTTACTCATTCTAGATGTATAGAATCAGGCAACACATAAACAGACCCTTCAGTCCAACTTGTCCATGCCAACCAGGTTTCCCAAACTAAACCAGTCCCATTTGCTTGCATTTGGCCTATATCCCTCCAAACCTTTCCTATTCATCTACCTGTCCAAATGTCTTTAAATGTTGTAACTGTACCTGCCTGTACCACTTCCTCTGGTAGTTTATTCCATGTATGCACCACCTCTGCGTGGAAGAAGTTTCCCCTCGGGTCCCTTTTTAAATCTTTCCCCTCTCACCTTAAACCTATGTCCTCTAGTTTTGATCTCCCCTACCCTAGGGAAAAGACCTTTTCTATTCGTCTTATCTATGCCTCTTTTATAGAGGTTTACAAAATTGAGGTCAGCAATAACAACTAACTGAACTAACTCTGAGCACAGTATAAGGATTACTCTATACCGAGGTATGCTGTGCAATCTTGAACATTTTATCTGTCCACAGCCAACAAAGTATCCTGAAGTGCTACTTTCCTAAATCATGACCATCTGAGCGGAGTAATTGTAACTGTGTAGATTACTGCAAATGCAATGTAAACAGTAGAACTGCACCAATGTGAGTAAGGTGGTAAATTAATACCATTTTCAGTAACATTTAAGGGTGGGAAGATTATTTAAACTGCACTACTGAAATTGCTACTCAAAAGTTGCCTAACCATTGGTTCCATTAAATCTGCATGCTATGCCTAATGTATGGGTAGGGGGTATGTTATGTATTCTCTATGTAAATAGTCAGCTATTTAAACCATGTGCTTGGTTACGTCCAGCCCAGCAGAGCCTGTTACTTTTGTGTAACCCTCTGTTTGTGACTGGTAAACAGAGCCATATAATCCTCTTGCTTTTACAATTTGATGTCCTCATTATCTCCATGTTATGAATTCAGTTGGTTTAAAATAAACATGGAACCACATAGAAGGCTCCAGCTAAAACAATGTCTAAAGCATATCTTCTTTTTAACAGTCTTGTTAACACTGTGTGCACCAGTTAAGGACCATTGGGGTCATCATGCCACTTTAGCATATGGATTTTTTTTGGGGGGGCGTGGGGGAGAGGGAAAGTAAGCATGGAAAATAAATTTTTTTTTTTAAAAAATGTCCTGCCCGTAATTCTTTATCATTTTGCCAAATCAAAAGCTCTATTAAATGATCCAAGGTTTGAAATGTTTTTCTTTGTTCACAGGATATAGGTATTATTCGCTAGGATAGCAATTATTGCCCATGCCCAGTTGCTCTTGAAAAAGTAGTGGTGAGCCACTTTCTTGAATGACTCTAGTCCATGGGGGCAGGTACACTCTCAGTGCTGTTAGCAATGGAGCTCCGGGATAATGATCCAATGACTATGAAGGAAAGGGGATATGGTTCAAAGTCAGGATGCTGTAAGACTTGGATGAACTCCCAGCTGGCAGCGTTTTTGTGCATCTGCTGGCCTTGCCCTCCTAGGTGGTAGAGATTGTCGGTTTGGAAGGTTCTGTTGATCGAGCCTTGGTGAGTTACCTCAGTGCATCTTGAAGGTGATAAACTTGGTTTCCACTCCACCCTAATAGTGGAGGAACAGAATCTTTGTGGATGTGGTGCCAATCAAGTGGGCAGTTTTGCCTGGGCTGAGGCAAGTTTGTGTTGTTGGAGCTACACTCATGCAGGCAAATGGAAAGTTTTCCATCTCCCTCCTGACTTCTGCCTTTCGCAGATTGTGCTCAGGCTTTGGGGAAATTGGGGAGTAAGTTACTTGGTGCAGAATCCCTAGCCTCTGATCTGCTGTTATAGCCTTAGCATATATACAGCTGGTCCAGTTCAGTCTCTGGTCAATGGTAGGCCGCATGAATGTTGTTAGTGGGGAGTTGAGCATTGTTGTACGTTAAAGGGAGATGGACTGTTAAATGCAACTAATCAGCTCAAGCCTGGACGTTGTCTATATCTTGCTGCATGTAGACAGAGGCTAATTTTAATAACTGAAGTCATGAATTGTGCTAAACATCCCCTTTCTGACAATTATGTCTATGAATAAAGCAAGATTTTACTGGCATCTATTTTTGAGGTAGTTGGTATGCTAAATAAATAATGTGCTAGTCAGTAGAAGTGCAGTTGATAGTGTCCCTACCTCTGGAACAGGCAGCCTGCGTTCAAGTCCCACCTGCTCCAGAAGTGTGTATTTAACATCCAAATAGGTTGATTAGAAAATATTTAGTGTATGTCAGTGAATTTAACGGCTAGATCTTGTTTATTTAAATTCTAACACCTATTGTAACAAAACTTTAGCGACTAATCCAGTGAATTTGTTACTGTAGCGACTAATGTTCGAAATTATTTTGATACAGTTAATACCATCAGCTCTCTTATGTCGTCATTCTCCAGTTTTATGAACTTGTGGGAGCAATATCACTGAGTTGTTGGGCCAATGAATCATCAGAACTTGGCTTTGTGTCATTCTTAGCCTTGGGTGCATTTTCAGTGTTTCACTAAAGTGATCA